CTATCTTAGGTAAAGGAACTTGAACATTTGCTAAGCAAACCCACACTTTCATGATTTTGTAATTTGGAAGCTTCTTGTTCAATTTTTCATATGGAGACTGATCACTTGTCTTTGGTGGGATTCGATTTAAGATAGTATTTGCAGTTAGTATAATTTCACCCCACATATTAGGTAGTAAACCAGCACTATTAAGCATGAAATTCACCATTTTTTTAATGTTCTATTTTTACGTTCAGCTACCCCGTTTTGTTGAGGAGTGTAGGGAGCTGTCATTTGATGTACTATTCCACAAGACGTACAAAATTTTGCAAAGGCATTCGATTCATATTCACCTCCTCTATCCAAACGCATTATTTTTATCTTCTTATCTAACTGATTTTACACTTCTGCTTTATACGTCTTAAACATATTCAAAACTCCATCTTTAGTGTGCAACAAGTATACATAACAATATCTACTACTATCATCTATAAAAATAATATAATAATTCTTTCCTCCATGAGTGGGTGTGGATTTTAAATCACCCAAATCTGTATGAATTAATCCCAATAATTCGTTTGATCTAGTAACGACAGATTTATATGACGTACTAGCAAATTTTGACTCAACACATGTTTCACATTTATGCATGTTATTCATAGTACAACTAAGCAACAAACCAAGATTAACCATTCTATGCAAAGATTTAAAATTAACGTGTCCCAATTTGGCATGCCTAGTGTAGAAGAGTCAATCAAGTAGATGGAAGCCTTATTTATATTATTAATAACATCATTCTCAAGTACATTGAGTTTAAAGAGCCCTTTAGCCAAGTAGCCCTTTCCTACAAATGTTTTTCCCTTAGTAAGAACAAATTTGTCAGATTCAAATACAAGTTTAAATCCCTTCTTGCTTAGAACGGGACCAGAAATAAGGTTTTTAGTAATAGTAGGAACATGTGGTACATCCATGAGAGTAAGTTCTTTTCTAAAAATTAATTTCAGAACCACTTTTCCTTTTTCAGCGACATTTGCAGTAGATGAATTGCCCATGAACATCTTTTCTTCGCCATTGTTAGAAGTGTAGGTGTCAAACATATTTCTGTTTCCACATATATGCTCTGTTGCACCAGTATCCACCAACCAATCCTTGCTATCAATCATCATATTAACTTCAGATATAATACCAACAAATTCTTCAACCACATTAGCCTGGTTGTTGTTAGTCGCGAGATTTGATTTCTTGTTGTGGCATTTTTGTGCTTTATGTCCAGTTTTTCCACATACCCAGCAAACACCCGTAATTGTCTTGAAATTCTTTCCTTTTGGAGCAAGACCACTTGGACTTTGCCTTTGTTGTTGAACATTTTGTTATTCTGAAATTTAGGCTTGGGTTTGGATGATTCTCCACCCTCAATGACACTGGCTTTGGCTTCGAACACTGAAGCATTCAACCCTTCACTTTTTCGGTGATCTTCTTGAACCCTTAGTTTGAGAATCAAATCCTCCATAGACATATTAAATGAATCTTGAAATCATTCCAAAATGGAGGTAATTTCTCTATTACAGATCTAATAGAGAATGCTGTTGGTAGGTCCATTCCTTCTGCATCAAGTTCATGGATAATAATTTGCAACACTTCAACTTGATTGACAACAAACTTTGAATCCATCATTTGGTACTTTAGGAATTTCCTAATGATGAATTTCTTTGAACCAGCATCTTCGATCTTATATTTATTCTCTAGCGAATTCCAGAGTTCCTTTGCAGTTTTATAAGATCTGTACACATCATATAGTGTATCATGAAGGCTGTTCAGAATATAATTTCTGCATAAAAACTCACTGTGTTTCCAAGCGTTGACTGCACTGAGTAGTTCTGCAGAAATATTTTCTCCTTCTGCATTAGGACATTCTTCCTTGACAACATGAGCGAGATTCAAAATAAAACAACATCTTCTGTTGCCATCGTTTGAAGTCCAATCGTTTGAACTTGTCTAGCATTTCAACGTGGGGTTTCACTTTTACGCCAATCCCAAATTGTTCCATACTGAAAAACTAAACTAAAAAAATAAACACAAAGATTTCTGCTATAGACTGTTGGAAACAATCAGGAACTAGACATAACAAATAACGCAACGCACTTATAAACAGAATACTATTATGCAATATACAAATTGATAACAAAATTAATATAAATGATACTCACTTGAATTTCAAATTGACAAAGACAACACAACAAGTTCGTTTTAGTTTATCCCTCCCTCTTCTAACTTTCTTTTGATGTCATGTCGATCTTATGAACTGTAACCTCTTTAGATCTATGCAAAACGTGTCTAACCACCTGATTCGTCTTTCTTTATATTTATCTTCAATCTGCGCCAACTTTTCTTGCGGTAGTAAAACTGTTCTTGTAGAAAAAGAAGCAGCTTTATTAATCTTTCTCAAATGGGACTAATCAATAGCAAATTAATAAAGCAATCACTACACAGACATTGAAGCCCTACACTAGTTAAACTACTAGAAAACGGATGAATCAATCATCAATATCCACTGTGAAACATATAGAGTATGTTTCGCACACAGGTGTGGATATGATCGGACGGTATCATAGACAATATTCTAGCTTTTTTTTCTTTTCCCAAACCTTCCACACCGTACAATCCACTTTACTAAAAGTCTAAAACCGAAATTCTGAATCTCAGCAAATAACACAAGCATTTGGAATCTCCTCCACACTTCGAACATAATAAGTGGGCTCAGCAGGTTGTACATACAGCATAGAAGGTGCATAATAATAGTCATAATGCTGCTGCTTGTAGTATTCTTGGTAGGCCTTCGAATATTCAGTCACTACCTTGGGCTGTTCCTTAGGCTTTTCAGGTTCTTTCGCTGGTCCGACTGAGACAATTTCAGTTTGGCAAAGCTTTCTTAACTTGTCCACTGCAGAAACAGGATCTATGTCGCCTATTACAGTCAGTTTCTTGTCCTTTGGATCCATTGCTATGGATTCAACCCCTGCAAAACCAATATCAAAATCACTTAGTTTTACACTTATCATGTTCCAAGATCTGGATATTCTTTGTCAGACTGCACGAAACCTATTTATATAGTTACAGAATCCCTCGACCGCAGATCGGCCCAATGTTTCTACTATATAAAGGGGATGTTCCGTGCGAGACACAGACTCGGAGGTGTGAATGACGAGTAAACATAGCTCTCACATTGATTGTAAACCGCTATAAATCTGATTCGACTTTTCTTATTTTTGGTTTCTTTTGTTAGTCTTGTGAGTGGAGATTAGGATCTAATCCATAGCATTCGTGGGATACTTTAAATTTTACAAAGCAATTAAGTTTTGCTTGTACAATACCTGAGAGACCAGAGACTTTTTTCATAGCTTTTTGCTTGATCTTTTCATCAGCAAACGCCAGTTTCAATACAACTTGCTGTTACAAAAACAATAGAAAACATTAACAATTAAGCACAGCTTCAACAATATAATTGCAGTGCTTGAAAATAGAACTAAACACAGTGTTTAACTGTTCCTGTTAAATTAGTAGTAAACTGACGTATAAGTTTTATTTTCAGTAAATTTGAGCCCGACTACTTGAATATTTTTTCGCTATGAAACTGATGAATCCAAAAATACAGCAAAGCAAATTTCAGAAAAAGGGTACTACCAACTTTATTAAACAACAACAGAAGAATCAAGAATAAGAAATAAATAGCAAACCTTCATTTTTTTCCTTTTAGACTTTGGGATCTGCGTTGGAGTTCTCTTGAAAGTTGCAAAAAAAAAGATTAAAAGAAAAAAATATTCAAAGCAGAGAAATTCAAGTAAAAAAAGAAGAAGAAAAGGTGTGTGTTGAAATTGAGCTAGATGGAAGCAAATTTATACAATGGATTGACGCTGAGAAGCTGGGGCCGAGTCAACTGGAGTCAATATTTTTTAGTCAAC